GTGGCCTCCTTAATCACCTTAACAAAAACACATTGAAAATATTAAAACACAGTGAGTTATTTGTTTTTCATTTCTTTCAGATTTATAACGTTCTCCTATTCCTCCAGGATTCTGGTTGCATACCATCTGTACTACAGTTGGACCATAGCTGTACCACAGTTTAACATTCTCACTTCGGAGCTGGCCTCGGTTGGAGCGTATCGGCTCCGTGGTTGGGGTCCGAAAGATGATGAACACGTTCGGCTGGATACTATTGCTGCTATGGCTAGTAGCTGACCTCAGTTGCGTTCGAACTCTGTCATCCTTTGTCCCACTCCATTCATCTTATCCTCCTCCTCCAAGCAAGATCTCAAATCAGCATAATAAGATTTTGCATAATAAATTTTTGCTGCTAAATTGCCGGCTGCTTACATTCCGGAACCAATGCCCATCCGTTATTGATATCACGGCTGGCATGCATCAGTTGCATAATTTCCTTTAATTTTATCTATTGCTGTACAGTAGCTTAGATGTATCCCAACTCCGGCTAACGTGTATAATGAGGATGATGCTGAACCACAGTTTGTGTACTATATGCTTATATATATATATGGGAAGCACAGGTCGTTGACTAGTTGGTTCTTCATATATTACTGTACTCTAGTGCTGGTTTGGTCTTTTATGACCCAAGATTCCGAGTAAAGTTTCCCTCTACCTCAGCCACGGCAACCGGGAAACACCATGCTTAAACAAATTATGGATCCATGTTTCAACAACTCTTCCATCGCTATTTCAGCTCTCGCTCTCTCTAAACTTACTCACTGGGACTGCTCTCTTCGGCCTAGGTGCTGGCGGCCGAACCCGCTAAACCACGTTTTACTGCACCACCGTTTAACCTCTTTAATATACCTTTGTGCGGGCCCTTCAATTTCCGGTCTCCATCCTCCGTTTCCTAGTCCCGAACACCGTGCAAATTTGGGCGAGACTTCTCGCAATACGCAACAGGAGCTTTGGTCTGACGGTTAGCCGAATCGTGTTGGAAAGCCAGTTCTAGCGTCGCGTTCCCAATGCTAATTGGCAAACTCCAATGTTCGGAATCTGATTCAGATCGGAACGCAGGTAGTTCTTTCGCACCGTCTAAAAGCTACGGCCGTTGATGTCTGCTTCCTCAATGTGACATGTTTATAGGACTTAAGCACGACGATACTACGGTTTTCACCGCCTGTGCGCTCCGCTGGCATGTTTACATTGCGCTTATGTAGAGGTTCAACCGCGGAAGCTGCGGGTCATACTTTTCTGGGGATTGTTTTGAGCACACGTACCGAGGCCGCGCTAGTTGTCTGGATCCCTGACAACATCCGACTCTGCGCGATCCGACTAGTAACCTCAATGCTACTGTTCAGACGCGGAGTCAGCAGGCGGTGTTTGTTCATTGTCGCATCATACGCCCCACAGACTGCAACCCAGAGTCATTTAAAGAGGAGTCCTATGGTTATGTAAGTGACATTCTCCATACAAGTGCTAGACGGACATCATGGTGTTCGGCGGAAACTTGATCGCGTAGGACGGTATACTTGGAGTTGAAGAGCGTGAACTGGCTGGTCAACACGGCCATCGCATTTGCAGAACAGACAACTGTGATCGTCTACCTCAGCATTGCGCAGATCACGGCCTCTTTCTGTCAAGTATTAGCTTTTGGGTATCCACCAACACATGGCTAGCCGTAGACACAGATTGACCACATTGCCATCAGTGATCGGTGCCGCAGCTGCATACAGAGTTGCATATCAATATGGAGTACGTCTCTCACTTCGGATCAGGCGCTGGTCTATACAAAGGTCGCGCTGTGTTCTGGTGGATTCCAGCAGCGTCTCCAGCAACAGATCGACGTGGCTAAGCTTGCGCCCCCAAAGTTCTCCGGCCATTTCAGACCGCTTTTGCCTCAAGCCTGAAGAGCGCCTCGTGCATAGACATTGAAGTACTCCGGATACACATCAGCGGCGCCATGCACAAATCTTCAGCCTTGGTCTTCGGCTTCAACAGTAAATCTGTCAACCACTGGTTCTCTGTCTGATCTCTCCAAATAATCCGCTTATCCTTGTCAGATATCTTGCAGGGCATTTGGTAAATCCAGTTCCTTAATCTTGTACATGTATTTAAGGGTTTTGCGAGTTCTACAGCCTCGGTAATCAACCGTCAAAGCGTTGCTGTACGCTTCTCCTAATATCAAATTTATAAACGTGATCTTTTTTCTGGGTCTAACCTAAGCACAACCAGATACAACTATCCCAACAGCGTCCATTTTCTTGCCTCTCTCCTCAGGGATAGCGAAATGTAAAATACGTGCTCTGCAATCGGCGTGCGTAGAGGTCTCACGATATGACCTACGTCTATTTGAGTAACTTATTTACATGTGATTTTTTAAACGCAGTTGGTTGTAATATGAGTGGAAAGCGTTTCGTTCAGTTGCATTTGAGTTGAAAGTTGTGTTAAGCCCCGCCGAGGATGCACATTTATATTTGTACGCAAAACTTGCCTCCCAAGTTCCATACATGTACGAAATTCGGTTTGACTGGGTTGGTTATGCTGTTAGCCTTCTCTGGTTCTTTAGATCTTTGCGTGACTGGCGTTCGACTAGTGGTTAACCCAGAGCTACCTTCCACCCGTATTATCCGACCGCCACCATCGTGCACGGGGTTCGTGTCTTGTAAATTAGCGCTGATGATATTCCAAGGTAACCGTGTTTCCGATCACCCGAATTGTAATCGCGTACCGTATCAAAGTTTGTCATTTGAAATATGTGATTATCTTCAATTTGCACAAATTTTGTGAGTATGTAGTTAAGTAATTGCATTGCACCGCTGCAAGAATCCAGTGCAATTGCCAAGTGTATATGCACGACAACAAGGTTGAATCGGTTAAATATTTCGTCACTCCCGTCTTGCTTAACAGCTGCAAACGTGTCATCAACGTTATGTCAATAAACATTCGGTAAGCTGGCTGTGTGGATTAATGACCTGTTGTTAGTTCGTTATATGTACGCTCACCGGTACAGAAGAGATTGGCGATCCCATAGCAGAACATTTTATCCTGGCTCTACTGCTTTCCGAGAAACCAAGTAGATTCTGTTAAGAAAGGCTACCGAACCCGCGACTAGTCCGTCAGATCCAACTCACTGTCGATCACTTATATATTTCTCTTCATTTAGACAAATACTATCGGTAGCTAACGTCTGCTCTTTGGTTGCATCTGAGCACTAATATCAGTGCATCAGTCTGGCGAATTGCTATAAGACTTTGCGAAAGTGAGCGTTCAAATCTTGTGGGTTTCAGATAGCCCTGATAAAAGTTTGACGAACTGGTTTGGTAGCGAGTCTACGCTTTCTATCATAGATTTCACAGATACTTCACGTTTGTGATGATTTGGAAGTGCATGAAACTCCGGAGGTTTGGTAAGTTCCCGTCTAGATTGTACCACTAGCTAACTTTGCTGTACTTAAGCCATTTAAGCAATGTTGCGTGCATATTCTCCGAATTCCCATTGCGCAACTCCGTTACTGCAAACGTTTAAACTAATCACTTCCGCATACATTGGATTCAACAGATGAAGCTGAAGTAAATATAAACCAGTCCACACTACGTTTCATCCAACACAATGTATGACACATCATTTGCATTCCTGGAGCTGTCAACGAATCCTGCCCTGCGATTACGATGGATGGCATTCAAATGCCTATAATTTAACCAGTAAAATTACGACAATCTTCTAGCCAAGTTCGGTACGCACATTTCAATTGAAATACTGAAGAATCGGCGCAAATGCAGTTAGAGTCGTGGGGCGTTTTGTCTGTATGTAATCACAGAGGTTCGATTTGAATCGCCAGACGCAAAAATGTATTGAAATTTTACCGATAAAATGGCTGCAGAGAAAAGTGGGTTTTGGATTCCATCATCGGTTAAGCTTAATTGGACTAGATGTTGCCACATCTAATCAAATAAATGTCTATTTTTCGCTCAGTAGAAGAAAATACATTTGGAGGCAGCTCACAATATATATGTAGATTTAGTAAACAAGATAAATCAACGCATCGGAGAACAGTTCAAACGGGCGAATTTATGAAACACTGATCTCAGCTGCAATTGCGTTCGGGGTAACTCACTCGAAATATTCGTCACTTCTATGCTCTCAGTCACATCAAACTCCACATGGGTAAGATGGAGAGTATCTACTTCAGTGGCGTAGAGGTCAACTACGTGCTATGTTTGTTGCTTTAAGCCAGTAAATATGGCAATCCCTTTCTATGAACACTTAGCGGAAATAGTTGAGGAGATAAAGAAGAGATTACAATTATTCGAAAACCAAGTTCGAACTGATCGAGAATTCATGATTTCAGTGTTATTTGTGCATAATCGGTCGGTTTGTTTCGTTGTCCACATATCTCACTGCAATCGTCAAGATGTGATATTCTGAGGCCGATCACTCGGAATGCGATGTTCGTTTATGCATGCGCGTTCACGGGAAAATATCCGTTGGCACTTGACTATAATGCTTCATAAGTCTAGTACGATCAACACTGAAGTCCCTCGTCTCACGTTGAAATCGCGATAAAGCGATTTGCCTCCAATATATTCGAAAGATTCCAATTGCAAGCACTTGGTCACACTAGAGAAAGATGACGCACGCAAGAATGAGGCGAATTTATTGTCACTAAGAAACTGTTCGAAATGGTTATGACAGAGATGAGAAAGGTGTGAGTAGGAAGGAAAGAGAGAAAGTTGCACGCAGGTAGACAAACACGGTTCGTTGCTGTTGTGGGTCACGTTGTGATTTTATCTGCGTCACCCAGATGTGCCTCATTATATCGACGTAATTTGAATTAATAGAAAGGCAAATTGGAGGTGCGAAGTGTTGGGGTGAATATGGGTGGATGGCTGTGATCAATCGATTGGGTGAGGTTTAATTACGTGGCCGCAAGTTGGAGGCAAACTGTACTGTATCTATAATTCTAGATGTGTGTGGACCACATTAGTATTCTTGTTCGAAATGTGGACTGTGCTTGATGGGTCAGTAGGCTCTACGTACCGAATCGTGTCCGAGATATGGTGTTTTGATGTCCACGAGGATACTTCACCCGCAGCTTTGGCCGCAGCATCAAGCAGAAAACACTCCTCTCCGGGTCGCCGTTCCTCGGACACATTCTCCTGCACAACAGAACTTGTTTCGTAAACGCTAGCATTTTGTTTATATTCACTCCCATCTCGCTGCACATCCACATCGGTATGGCAAGCACCGGCTGCACCCGCGCTATCTGTGTGCGTCATTTGTGTGGGTGCTGTAGGCTTACCTGAAAAAGAATATCGGAATGTGTGCGTGATTGACAACTCGGTGTCAAATTAATTTTGCATTGAATTGTGTGAAGTTGGCAGCATAGTTTGAATGACATAGTACGCGATGCGGATAGTCTCGTGAGAGCAACCTGCCACATACGTGGGGCATAAGCACAAATAGCGTATTAGGACTGTATATTGTCTGAAATATTTGGAAGCAGACTTCAGGGTGTATAAGCGATATAAATTTGGTGGATCACACAGTTAGAGATTTCAGTGCACATCACGGAATGAGCCTTCGATTTGCAGAGAGAAAGCGACCGAAGAGGCTTGAGAATTCTCACAAACGCTAACTGGATTAAAGCCGTAGCAAACCAAGTGAGATAACTAAGTAGCCGCAAGTTAGATTAGGACGCCAAACATGGAGTTATTATCATATGGTAGTACAACCTGATCGTTTAATGGTGTTTAAAACAATACGAGTAAAAACCCAGGCATCGAATACAACATAACCCAGCGGTTTAACTGAACAATACATTATTTGAAGAGAGCCAGAACGAACAGCATTTGTACGTTATAACGTGAATTCAGATTATTTGGTGTCTTCTCATTCAGCCGCTTACAGATAATTGTCTGTAAGCGGCTGAATGAGAAGACACCAAATAATCTGGATTCAGGTTAACCCGTAAAAATGCTGTTCGTTCTGGCTCTCTTAAAATAGTTGAAGGGGAATGGCTGCAGGAACAATCCATGATATGCTTCAAGTTGCTTACTTCTGTTGTTTGGGCGATGAACGAAATCAGATCAACGGGCTGATGTTTGCCTTTATATAGTTCGATCAGGATTGGAAGTCGAGTGAGCACACGTGAATCGAGTGTGTTTGCTCCAATAATTTACGGCATTTGCTTACATCGATTCGTTTGATGAGATTCACTGCCATGTATGCTGCATGTGATGTAAGTTGATGTAAGTGTCAGGTACGCATTCGTCAATGTGTATAGCTTGCCAAATGTTGTGTTCTCCTGGTTAAACAATAGGTCATAGCCTCACTATTTGATAGGTGGGTATGTTTTGTTCATCTTCAGCGTTTCGCCGGTGTCACCTTTAGGCGAATCGAATTGAAGAATACTGAATCATAGCTTATCATTTGAGATTGTTTATATTGCGTGTATATCCTCAATTAAGTTTACCTTTGCAAATACCTCGACTAGGTTGATGCGCTGAACTCTCTTATTTACGTCATTGGGGGATAATTACCCCGCACATGAATTTCCAGTTTGTTTAGCTTACCGCATGTTATATGTTTTAGTGGCTTATTAGTGTGACATAAAGTCATCATTTGATGGACAAGCCCGTTGTCTTATTCTTTAGCGTTTTGCCCATGCTGCGATTAAGCGACCCAACGTTTGGACGACACATTGTTTTATATCATGAGGCATCGCCTATATGTCGCCTAGCTTATACTCACTGATGATGTAACAGATAATGCCCAGTTTTGCAACCACTTATCTAATTAATTCCAGAAGATGCATGCAACTCAAATTCGCTCAGCATATTGGATTAGAACTGATTATATTGTGCTCAGATACACTGTTTTCATGCGCGATACAAGTAAGATTGAATACTGAGCCATGGAGGCAAGTAATTGCAGTAAGCGCTAAAACGGGGACGTCATCTAATGGTTCTGAATGTACCATAAGCAATCGTATTTCGTTTTTGCCGACGCGTTCGCCACTTGGAAAAAGAAAATCTGCAATGAATCATCACTGTTAAAATGCAAGTGGCCGACAAGTCCCGTAGGGTGGTTAGAATAAAATTTAAAATTGATAGGATCAATGAATATGTAAATCGGCAGTTTATGCGTCCACCGATTTCAATTCACTACTGCATTTAATGGGAATAAGATGTGCACACAAAATAGTAAGTACAAAGAGCTCTTATCATGCAGTGGGTAAGCGATAAATAAAAAAGAAACCATACCGCTCACTAGTGTATTGCTTCATATGACCGATGTTCACGTGCTGCTGTAACATCCCCTCACGTGGCAGATGAAATCACATTTATAAAACTTAACCTTCTATCGGTTTGGGTGGTTTCCGAACAGCATTCGGCTGATCAGTTTCTTCCTTCTGGGTTTTGTCTATCTATTCACGCTCTTCCGTAACAACTCCTTCCTCCTCAGCACATTGTGTGACCAAGGTGCGGGGACGGATGAAGTCATTGTGTCTGCGTACTGTTTCTTCACTTCCTAGTTGTATATCGGCCTCAGTTTCTGAACTTGTGAACACGGTTCCTGGTTGCCATACCTGCTCGTGCGGGAGTTTGGTGTACACCTATCGTTTGACTGCCAAAACATGGTGTTTAGCTGGTGGTCGTCCACTCTCATGCATGCGCTGTTGGTGGCAACGCTTGGCCTGACGGGGATCTGGGAATAGTAAGTGTAACCTTGTACGTAGTTGAGGCCCAAACATAGCCTCCCCGGAGCTTTTTCCGATGGATTTCAGTGGTGTGGTGCGATACGCGAATAAGAATCTGTTAAGTTTAGTGCGCAAGAAGCCATGATCTTGCTTCAGGAGACCACCTTTCAAGGTTTGTACCCCCTTTCCGCTAAACCGTTTGACGCTGGGTGGGATGGTGTGCAAGTCATGTGTTGGATGCCATTACCTTACAAGTATTCCTTGAACGCTGCATCGAGGAGAGTCAAGACCATTGCAGTGCGTAAATATTTTGAACTGATGGTCCCAAAGTTTAGTAAATTAGCTCAGCTGCAACTGATTTCAACATGGGTGAATTAGGTTCGTCAGCATTAAGCAAACCATGATAAGGTCTACAGGTTGACACAGATATTCAACGCGGCACAATCTCGGGGAATGCATTCTGCGCTGATGGAGGAGATGAAACAATCCTCTAAGGAGTTTGGTTGCTCTACGTTGTGGAGCTTCAAGTGCATTGAAGTAGCTCTTGCGCCAGGGATTCCAGACCTGGGTCGCATATTTCACGTCGGTCCTCACGCAGGCATTCAGAATTTGCAGAAATATTGATGGCTCAAAAGTTCCGGATGCACTCCGTAAGAGTCCAAGTTGGTGATTGGCATTTCTTCATGCCATTTCAGCCTGTCTCGAGCAGCCAAGATCGTCCTGCACGATCACCACGTGGTCGCTTTCCTGGGAAGCACGTTGCAAATGCTGGTACCCAATTCGATATTCATGGTTAAACTGATCGCGCATGCTCCCGACTTTGCATTTCGCCACGTTGAATTGGAGCAGGTTTTCGGATGACAACGTAGAAACCCTGTCGAGATCCCTCTGTAATGCCATTCGCACATACGCTATCTCGATGCTATATCAGATTTTGACATCACCTGACAATAGTAAGAAATTCGAACGCGGTACACAAGCATGATCGTGAAGGAATGCTTGGAATAAGTGTGGCCCTGTACCGAATTTGGATACGCCACACTGGTCATCAATTGGATGGGAAGTGGAGCTGCGGACTCAAAATCAGTTGACATTCAGTGAGGAATTTACTGATCCAACCGAACACATGGTTACCGATTTCATAGCTTCGAAGCTTATGAAAGAGAATGCGGTGGTCCAAACGATCGAACGCTTTGGCGATGTCCAGGTAGATAACGTCGACACCCACTCTGGCATCAGCTGACTCTGCCTAGCATGCTTGGGCTAAAAGCAAGTTTATAGCTCAGGACGAATATTGGCGGAATCCGTGCCGCTGTGTCAGTTGTATGTTGTTGCTTTCAAGGTATATCATGAACGCCTCCGCGATGATACCTTCTATAAATTTTAATAAAACTGGGCGGCTATTTATTGGACGGTAGTTCGAGGGTCCCGCACGATTACTAGTTTTGTAAATAAGAGTGACTAGTCCATGTTTCCAGATTGTAAGAGCCTGCATTTCGTCGAGACAATGTTGAATGAACCGAGCTAATGTTTTAACAACGTGCATGGACACTGTCTTTAATCTCTTCGGTTTAATGTCGTTCAAACCAGGTGAGCTGTGCACGTGCAATAACACTAGCCTTTCATCACATTGGTTACCGTAAATGATAGTTGGTTTAACTCTGGTGGTGATGGGGGCTGTGTCAAAGCGCGTGAAATGATGATCTCTCTGGAAAGTGTGGATTAAATGTTAGCGAAGCACGTTGACGGCATCTAGTGTAGTTTGTGCCAGACCAACTATTGCACGTGGAATTGGGATCCCGCGCTGCGCTGTACGGAGCTTTTTGATGTGTCTACACAGCAACTTGGGATTTGTACTGAAGTTCGCCGCTAAGTTTTGTTGGTTCTGGAGTTTGCCTTCGCGGATCAACATGACGCAGTGATTTCATTGAGTTGTGTAAGCATCAAATGTCAGATTTCCTAGACTGATTTTGTAAGTGCGTCACGATAAATACCTTAAGTCCATAGATTTTCTAGTACGGCTCATTAGGAACGAATTCACTTGCTTCAAGCGAAAGACGTCACTTGTTGACGCATTTGTCACTAGCTCGGTGATTTGGGTAACAAACACCGTCTAAGCGGCCAGAAACGACCAGTCGGTTTCTTGTAGGAGGTTAGACATTGTAACGCAATGTGTCACGACATCGGTTTCCACGTTGTTCTCACTGACGTGCACATTTGTATGAAGAAGTTTTTGTCACCTGAAGACACCGGAAGCTTAGTAAATAAAACAATTGTTCGATATAATCCCTCTGAAATGATGACTTACGTATCGGTTCGAAATTACTTCCAGTATGTAAATCAACCGCTTTCTTTCATAGACCCAGTAATATGAATTCCGAACATAGAATAATCTACATAGCATTTATAAAACTGGCTAAAGCGTTACATCGCAGGTTTCCTGATATATAAATATCAGACAAAGAGCAATGTCGATTTCCCTGCTATCGGCAAATCTAAGGCTAAAAGTCTTGCGCTCTCCTGCTGACGCTCATGTCGTTTGTAATGAAGCTCATCAAACAAGCAAGAGATTGTCTG